TTTTTTTTTTTTTTTTTGTGGTACGCGGCCTCTCACTGTTGTGGCCTCTCCCGTTGCGGAGTGCTCCGGACGCGCAGGCTCAGTGTCCATGGCTCACAGGCCTAGCCGCTCTGCGGCATGTGGGATCTTCCCGGACCGGGGCACGAACCTGTGTCCCCTGCATCGGCAGGTGGACTCTCAACCCCTGCGCCACCAGGGAAGCCCTGCCCCCCGTCTTTAAAAAAAATTTCCAGAAAAATGTCTGATGCTTCTAAGGTTTTATTTTTATTTCATTTGGATTTGAGGAGGGAGGAGGAAAGGGTATCGGGGAGCTTTAGCAACATTTCACATTTTGTTTCTGCTGGGTTTAGTGAACACTTTTGTAATTTTGAAGAGAAATTTGGTAAAGAATCTAAGTTTGAACCTAGCTCTTCCATTTTCAATTTATTGGTTTATATGCTGAGTTTTATGGGCATCTTGAAGCTGAATTATTTTCCATAAATATTGAGAAACAAAAAAAAGGTATAGTACTTGGCACACAGCAGTTAACTGGGAAATATTCATAACCATATACTTAATGTACCTTAAATGGTATAAGCTATGACATGTGTGTTACTATATGTTATATGTGGGAGTTAAGTCTTATATTTTTGTTCATGCTTACACTTTATATAAACCATGCCAGTAGTTAAAAGATTCTAATATAATACTTAACTGTTCTTTCCTAGAATTTATTGTTCTTGGATAGGATCACTCATATTATTACTGTAATGGTTGATTGCATCGACTTTTCACCATATAATATTAAGTATCAGCCCAAAATTAAATGTAAGTATTTTATTTGCTTACCTAATATATCATAAACATGGCTGTCTGAACTGTTGTCAGGGCAAATCCTAATAGCTTTTCCCATCTCATTTTACTTACTTTTGGTGCTGTGTAACCATGTTAGTTACTATGCTAGTAGCTCACATGCTTGCTCTCTTTCCTTCTGTGTGTGTGTGTCTCTCTCACCCTCCCCCCCCAATCTAACTCCTTTTTATGATGCAGAAACATAAATATTGTCCTATTTAGAGATTGTCTAATAATACAAATGATTTTACTTCATCTGGGACAAGGGATTATCTGGACAAAAAACTTTGACGTTTGTTAAAATGTTCTTATTTGGTAGCCTGATTTGAAATAATCATTAAATTGACATTCAACTGCATAGAAAATCGTGGCAGTGATTAATCAGTTATGGTTTTACAGGAAATTTAAAATGATGCTAAAAGTTTAACTCAATTTTTACTGTATAAAATTGGACAATTGAAATCATAACAAGTTGTCTTATTTTTATAACTATGTTCCTTGGTTAATTCTAAATTATGTTGTAATAAATACTGAGCTATTTTATTCTACTAAGTGGTTCTTTGAACTTATATATTTCTACCAGTGATTATATATTTTTATACTGTATAGGAAAGAACCTTCCAGTAATGAAAAATGTGGATGTTTAAAGGTTACTTTTCCTGTTGAAAGATTGGGAACATACTCAGTTTTCTTTTCTTTTGGGGTTTTTTTTTTTTTAAGGTTCATATCCTTTTTTTTTTTTTTAATTTATTTTATTTGTTTATTTTTGGCAGCATTGCGTCTTCATTGCTGTGTGCGGGCTTTCTCTAGTTGCAGCGAGCAGGGGCTACTCTTTGCTGTGGTGTGTGGGTTTCTCATTGCAGTGTGTTTCTCATTGCGGTGGCTTCTCATTGCGCAGCATGGGCTTTAGGTGCGCGGGCTTCAGTAGTTGTGGCATGCGAGTTCAGTTGTTGTGGCTCTCAAGCTCTAGAGTACAGGCTCAGTAGTTGTGGCACACGGGCTTAGTTGCTCCATAGCATGTGGGATCTTCCTGGAACAGGGATCGAACCCGTGTCCCCTGCATTGGCAGGCAGATTCTTAACCACTGTGCCACCAGGGAAGTCCCTCAGTTTTCTTTTAATAAGATCTATCTTTGATGAATTAGTGTAAAGATTACTAGAACATAAAATATTTTTAGGGTTTTTTGGGGGGAGTTTCAGTTTTAAATAGTAATGTAGAAAAAGATGTTATGTGACTAAAGTGTATTACAGGTCAGAGCATCCCAGCCTTGATGCCACAGAAATGGATGTGCTTGGATTTTTTTGTTTTTAATCTCAGCCCCCTTTTGGGCTGAGCAACACTTAATCTGATTACCTCTTAGTCCAAAAAAATAAAATTCTCTAAATAACTATAAAGGTTATATAACAGATGATATCAGAAATTATTTTGTAAGCCACCGAAGTTTGATAAGGCAAGATGATGAGCTCCAGGTGGACATAATTTTACCTATTTTGTTACTTCTGAAAAATTAGAATTAACTGAATATCCATTCTATCCATGATCTGTAAACCCAGAATTAGAAGTCTTTTGTCTTCATTCCTTGTCTTACAAGAGGTGTTCTTGCTGTTTAAATTTATGGAAACTAGGGGAGATTTCTAAAAGCTGCCAGCAAAAGTTGAGGAGGAGAGGAAACAAAAATTAGAACTAGTTGAAAGAAAATTATTATTATTCATAAATATGCATAAGGATCACTTTGAGAGTTTTTGGATAACTTTTATTTTGTAATTTGTTTTAGAGAAACATTGCAAAAATTATACACAGACACTAAACATTTTTTTTTGTAATGTTGAGCCTTTTTTTAATTTATTTTTATTTTTGGCTGTGTTGGGTCTTCGTTTCTATACAAGGGCTTTCTCTAGTTGTGGCAAGCGGGGGCCACTCTTCATCGCGGTGCGCGGGCCTCTCACTGTCGTGGCCTCTCTTGTTGCGGAGCGTCTCCAGACGTGCAGGCTCAGTAGTTGTGGCTCACTGGCCTAGTTGCTCCGCGGCATGTGAGATCTTCTCAGACCAGGGCTCGAACCCATGTCCCCTGCATTAGCAGGCAGATTCTCAACCACTGTGCCACCAGGGAAGCCCAACACTAAACATTCTTTACTCAGATTCCTCAGTTGTCAGTTGATTGCTTTTGTCTTATTATTTTCATCCCCCACTCCCCTTTATACTTTTTATTTTTATTTCCTGGAACCATTTCAAAGTACTTGTAGACAAGTCTTTGATCTAGAACATTTCCCAAGTCTTGTCTTTCACGACCTTTAAAAGTGAAGAGTGCATGGCTTCCCTGGTGGTGCAGTGGTTAAGAATCCGCCTGCCAATGCAGGGGACACAGGTTTGAGTCCTGGTCTGGGAAGATGCCCATGCACCACAACTACTGAGCCTGCGCTCTAGAGCCCGTGCTCCACAACAAGAGAAGCCACTGCAGTGAGAGGCCCGCACACTGCAACGAAGAGTAGCCCCTGCTCATCACAACTAGAGAAAGCCTGTGCGCAGCAATGAAGACCCAAGGCAGCCAAAAATAGATAAATAAAATAAATAATTTTTTTTAATTAATAAATCTTTTTTTATAAAAAAGCAAAGAATACAAATAAAGTTACTTTTTGAGCGTCTCTCAATTGGGCTCTGTCAGTATTTCCTCAAGATTAGATTGAGATTTCATTTCTTCACTGGGATACTACAGAAGTATATTTTTCTGTGCATTATGTTAACAGGCACACAAGTCAGTTTGTCCCGTTACTAATGATGTTATTAACATTTACTGTTTGGTTAAGATGGTATCTGCCAGGTTTTCTACTGTAAAGTTAATTAGTAAATACTTATAATTAATAAGTTAATGTTTTGTGGCAGGTACTTTGAGACCGTGTAAATATCTTGTTAACCCAGCATACTTTTTTACCCATGAGTTTTTCAGCCACTGATGCTTCTTGCTTAAAACACTATGATGTTTCCCAAAGTGGTAGTTCATATTGTTTCATTTAATTACATTACTTTGTATCAAGGAGTTTATCTCCTTTGCTTTAATTACATTAATTCTAAAAGCTGTCCCCATTTTAATTATTTATCTCATTATGTTCCCATAATAAACCATTCTACAATTATTTATCAAGCCACTAAGCACCAGACACTTACAGGGGCAAGTGACATCCTAATGTAAGATAGCTTCCTTTGTCCCCTATTTATTTTGTTTTTATCAGCATGGATTTCTGTTATTCACTAGGCTATAATTTATTTCTATTAAAATTTAATGTTCTTGTTGGCATCTATTAACCTTTTCATATGTTTCCATTATTCTTTGAGAACTTTGACATAAGATGTTTATATTTTTCCCTGCCTCAGCCTGGAACTAGCCATATCTCCAAGGAATATGGTTCCTTTTAGCTGAGAATGGCATTTAGAAACCAAAATCTGTTCATTGCTATTAAGATGTCACTGCTTCTGGATCTCTGAGTGGACAGAGGTGGGAAATACATTGGTGTGTTTGTGAACTACACAGTTATGTCTCTAGATTTACTTTCAGTTATTTTCTCATATCATAAGGTTTATTCTAGTCTTGGATATCCCTTTTCTCTATTTACCTGCCTCAGCATATATACTGTTTGATCAGTCTCTTGTATGTAACTGCTCCCCTGACTACGGGCTGTCTTCAGCCTCAACATACTAGCCAAGAATTTCTGGGTGGCCTTTCCAATTTAAATTATTCATGTATGGAAAACTGATTCTAGGGAAGAAGGTTGACTTCCTTTCAGTAGCAACACTTGTTTTTCATTTCACCACATGATATTTTTAATTAATAAGCATTAGAGTTTTCTCTTAAATCTGAGATATCTTAACCTTAAAAGAATGGATTCTTTGAGGGAAACAAAGGTAATTTTGGAATAGGTACGATTTTCCTGAAAGACATAATGGGTTTACCCCTGGAGAGAGATGGAGTCTAAGAAGGGTGCAAAGGAAAGTTGGACAGATACATCTTTTTCTTTTTTTTTCTTTTTTTTTTTTTTTACTGATATATACAGGCTTAATGATACAGTGCTCTTCACAGACGGCTACAGAGACTGTAAACTATTATCCAGAAACATACAACCATACAACACAGACCACTTAGCCAGATATAAAATAAACTGGCTTCTTGTAACTACCCTGTAAACACTGCAGCCCTTCTTCCATCCAAAAATGACCCTAATCTCACATGAAAACAGTTATTGTAGAGGAATCAGAAACCCAGCTTTGTGGCCAAAAGTAAAAACCAAAGGAAAAATAGCAATTCAGTGGTTAACTGGTGAAAGCAGGAAACCTGGTGCCCTTCACTGCGCTGCTTTGCTCTTCTTACTCTTGCTCTTTTTGTCCCTCTTCAGCCCATCCATGTTAGCTCTCAATAGGTTTGAATAAGCCATCTGAAACTTATTCACTTCTTTGGAGCTCACCACAGTGCTGATCTTCTTTTTCCGATCAGTAGCTCTTAACAGACACTTGTTGTCTGAGGGCTCAAAGCCCTCCACAGAACCCTTCCTTGGAATGGGTTTAGTTCGACCATCATCAGGTGGAGGAAGTTACGGGAAGGCGGGGACGCGCGGCAGACAGACTCTGCCTGTGGCTCCCAGTCACTGGGCACCCGGGCCGGGGCATCGCTCGGCCTCCCAGCTCCCTTCCGGCCTTGCTGCATCCACAGCTGCTTACAATTCTTCAGGGTGATGAACACGCTGCCCGACAACCGGCACTTCTGGAAGAGCCTGGTCAGCTCCGTCAGGAACTGCTCACTTTCCAGCAGCACCATCCTGGCGCTGCCAGATTTGCTTCGTCAGCATTAAGTCCCAAGCCGTTGGAGATACATCTTTTTCTTTAAATCTAGGCTTTTTCCCTTGTATTATTTCTGAGGATTTGGATCTCTGACTTGTTCAGTATTAATTTGTGGGGTTTAGTGTACTATAGATGAGCCAGGAAGCAATGATTCTAAGGGAAATCTTGTTTCTTATTTTTTAAAATGGACTTTAAACTTTTAATTTTGGAGCACAGCTTATATAATTCAGTGTTTTCTTACAAATTAGTTGTTGAAATTCTGAGACTATAAAATAAAAATTTTAATGCATTTAAAAATTCCTTAGAGAAAATAGAGTCATATTTGTGGAATTCTTATTCTAGCTCTGCCAGTTTTCCCTTATCTCTGATTCTCTTTTAGAGATAATGTTGTAGTGATGTTTATCCACTAATGGTATTTCATTTTAAGATTTGTGGGTATCACTCTACAGAAACACATGTATTAGATGTAGATGTCATGTAAATGTGAGACATAAATTGTAAATATGACTGACACTTTTGAACACACTTGAGTTTTTAATAAGTTTAATTTTATCCTAGCACCACAGAGACCTTCAGATTGGTCCAAAAAGAAGAAGGAGCCCTTGGGAAAATTGGCTTCTTTATTTAAACTTATTGTGAGAGTGATCTATTCTTTCCACACTCTGAGCCTCAAGGAAGTACATTCTGATACTCTCCTCGCTATTGGCAACTCAATCACCAGCATTCTTTCCAATGTACTTGGACATATTTCTTTGCCTTTTATGATCCGAAAAATATTTGCAACTTTAACCAGACCTCTGGCATTATTTTACGAAAACTCAAAGTAAGTATTTTGGCTTAATAACTTTGAATTAAACATATATAACTAGATTTAGGTAGCAAACGTTTATTGTTTTCATATCAGCTTTGCTGTTAAAGATCTTAATCTTTAAAGTTTAGTGGAAAGGGTAATATATGAAACTATGCTTTTGTTAAAAAGATAGTTCAAGTAATAAATAAGTATGAGGTAGAAATTGGAAGTCACTTTATTTTTCATGATTAATCCAACCCTCTTTTTACTTCAGTGCATGTCTTTTCAGAACTGTTAATACAAAAAGCATACCTCGTAAATGTATGATATATATGACTTGACATACTGCTTTGCAGTTCAGTATTATATACAGTATGCACTTAGGATATTGGATGCATCTTGCATCATACACCTAAGAGTCTCATTGTTTTTAAGGTCTGCGTAGGGCTTCATGAAACTTTACCCAGTTTCCTGTTGGCGGACATATGTTTTCTAGTCTTTTTCCTTATAACTAACAATATCACATTTGAGCATATGTGTACATAAATCATTTGCCACTAAATAGCAGAACAGGGCCCTAAAATTGAAATGGTTGGTTCAAAGGGTATATGCATTTAAATTTCTGAATTACCCTCCAGAAGTTTGTATTAATTTACATTACCTTTTACATTTGAACCAAAGAAACCAGTGCCTAAAAAACAACATGAAAAAATCCCAAGTAACATATCTGAAAGAAGCATTTTGGAAGAATTCATTAATGTTCTTTATAGCAAGCTTGTGTGGTTCAGTTATAATACAGCTTGTCTTTCATAAATTCACAGAGAAATCTTTAGGAACAGATTTTATAAACTACAAACTAGAACTCCAAATCCATTAAGTTTTTGCAAATCTTTTTTAGTCCTTAAGTTCATCAAAAATAATAATGCTTTTTAAAAAGCATGGAAACAAGTGACTGGTATTAATACTTCGAGGTCTATTCCAGATGTTTTTCTTTAACTCCTATTTTAAAGACAGGTTTGTTTCGTGTTTAAATGTTTGCAGTTTAACAATTTTTGTTAGGTCTTGGGGCACCTTTGTATATCACTACACGTGTCTCATTTTTTTTGTGCTGCATTATGATATTTCTAGGTTTAATGTTCTAAAATATAAATGGTACTCTGTTTTTCTTCATAGGTTTGATGAAGTTCCTAAAGTATATAGTTGTATGAACAACAAGGTAAAAATAGACATTGTCCATAAAATACACTTTCATGAAGAAAAATTTTAGGATTTAAATAATTGTCTTCCTTAAATATAATTTTGCTGATTTTTTTTTAAAGGGTCATTATTACACCTTAATTTTAATGAACTTTTAGTAACAAGACGTGGATATAATCAAAGGATAGTTTTTTAAAGGAAGATTTAATATTGCTTTAAATTCATATAACTCATCTCCTGTCTCATCCCTTTATATATGAAAGTAATTGGTTCCAAGGTTTTTATAGGTAAAACTTATAATTTATGTGAAAACATAATTTTTTCTGTTAATGGAGAATAAGCTTGAAATCAAGCTGTTGTATTGATAAAGTAAGTTCTTGCCTATAAAGAGTGTTATATATTGAAGGTGATGGGAGCTTTAAAAAAAAATTGAAATAACAGCATGTTCTGTGAGTTTAATTTAGTATGCTTTGTGCTTTTATTTTTTCTGTTTGAAAAGTAACATTTCTAAGTGTTATCCTAATGAACTTTTTCTTTTTCCTAGTTAGAAAAGCTACTAGGAGAAATTATTGCTTGTCTACACGTCAGCTACACTGGGACTTATGACAGTGAACTTCTTGAACAGATCTCGCCATTATTATGCATAGTATTTTCACACAAGAATAAACAGATTAGAAAACAAAGTGCTCAGTTCTGGAATGCCACATTTGCTAAAGTGACGATGTTGATTTATCCTGAGGAGTTAAAGTATGCTAACAACAAAACTCTTTTATACAGTTACTCTGTTCTGATTATGTATTGACATTTTGGTTTTAACATAAAATTTCCTTATGAGGAATCATTGCAGAGGATTTCTTAGTTGAAATATTATTATTTGGAGTACATGGTGATGATTAAAATTATCTGACCCTTTGCTTTGGTCCTTAGAGTAACCTTAGTTTTAGGAACATAAAAAGCAATTTCAGATTATCCTTAACAAAAGAAATTTCCAGCAAAAGGCAGGAAATTGATGGCTGTTAAATCTAAGTGACATGTACTTAATGTAACAGTCTACTTTTGCTCAAAATTTTATGATTAAAATTTGGAAAATTGGAAAACTTTTTAAAGAATAAAATTCAGAAACTGAAGAGTTTAGTGAAAAATTCAAATATTGTCTGTAATTTCTCCCAGTTTTATATATGTGGAGTAAAAAAGTCTTTAAGTTGGCTGTATTTTGCCACTTTAAAATTATAATTAAAGTGTTCTTGTTAATGTGTCATCAGTACTGCTTACTTAAGGCATATATATTTATGTATTTTTTTGAAGACCAATACTAAAACAAGCCAAACAAAAATCTCTGCTTCTCTTGCCTGGTTTGGAAAATGTTGAAATTATTGAGGAATCCAGTGGACCATATTCAGATACAGTAAGTTGTGTGTGTGTGTGGGGGGGGGCGTTGTTTACTTTTGCATGATGTTTGAGTAGTTCTTTTATTGCGTTTCAGTGTAGTTTTAAAAAAGACAAAAGCTTAGAATGTTTTACTGAAGTGATAAACAAGTAAAACCTGAACAGAAGTGTTCCGTAACAGTTTTCCATGAAGTTACTTGTGTGGCCTAGAAAACTTATGAATTAAGGGCAGTCAGTTTCACCATGGAGTCTCATTTAAATAATCTCTGGTTCTTGTTCATTAATGATCTTTTTTATTTAACTATGGCACCTTGTATATTGTTTTGCAAAGGTTGGAATTATTGAAATATATGGTTAAATGTTGCTTTATATAAACTGGGAATACTAGTTACTAATCCCTATGTAAGCAAGAGCTACACTTCATTTTCTCATTTCTTTGCATTGAATCTCATTCATTCTGCCAGAGAAACACATCCTTGATATCACATTATCCATTTGGACCAAGGTTACTTTGGCTAATAGTACTTGATTACGGTCTAAAGATGAAGGAGTAAAGATAGAAGCACTATATATATACTCATCAGGTAGAACACCCTTAGGCAATTTTTTCCTATTCAACAACAAATGGAGTCTCACTATTTTTTTGTTTAGAACCTTAAGAGAAATGCTCTTACTTAGTTTTGGTTTTTGGGTAAAATAAAAATACTTATCAGATAATTATCTAGACTTGTTTAGACTCCTTCAGTGTAATTTGGCCTGAAAAAGCCATATATCCTGTTGGGAGGGACCTGATAGTATTTTCTGTCATGTATGTTTTATTGTTTAAAGTTTTATGGCTTTGGTTTTTCTTTGAAAGCAATTTCCAGTAATAAGAGGGGTATTTGAGTTCAATAATTCGATTCATTTTTATAGTGTTTATTTGATATGTCTTATTTTCAGGATGCAAAACAACTATTGCTATATAAGTTGGAGACAACAAATCTTTGCTGTTACTGCATTAGACAGTGGCTTTCTTTGACATGATCTTAGTAGATATGAATAGTCAAAAAAAATTTGAAATGAGTATTGATTAGACTGTAATTATCAAAATGTGAAAAGGATAAATAAAAAACATTTGCACATAATGAAATTGTTTTACTTTTACAAAAACAGACAGAAAATTCACAGTTAAATATGAAGATAAGTGGCATGGAAAGAACCTCAAGTGGAAAAAGAGATTCTTTTTTGGCACAAACAAAGGATACAAAAGACAATATGAAACCACCAGCTAAAGTATGTTTTTCAAAGTGTATTTAATAGAACTTTTAAAATTAAAGTATGTGGTAGCTTGCAAATATACAACTTTTGATTGGAAGAAAAACCTGTTAAACACTAAATAAAAGATGGGATTGTAGGGAAATAGTAAAGTGTGGCCTGGGAAGACTATTAAGATGGCATGGTAACCTAGAAGCCTTGGGAGATGATTACTTCTTAGTAAAGTTAAGTCTGCATAACACTGAGCATTTGTTTAGTATATTTACTCGAGGCAGCAGCCCCCTTGAGGTGGAATGAAACTAAATAAGATTAACTGTAACATAGGTAGCATGAAAGGAGAATGTTTTAGAACTTCTGTTATTGAATAGGAAGAGAATGTATCCGCAAGACATCTGTTGTAAGCTCATATATAA